GAGCGTAAAAAAAACACATTATTGTAATATATTGTTTGTATTTCGCTATAAAACTGACAGATTTTGAAAGCGTAGACTTTGGAATATCTCCCGGTGCTCCCAATACTCTCAATATATACTCTCAAAATATTATAACTTTAATCTTTATTCTCGAAACATTTCAACTTTATTCTCATAACATTCCGACTTTATTCTCGAAACATTTCAACTTTATTCTCGTAATATTTCGACTTTATTCTCGAAACATATCAACTTTATTCTCGTAATATTTCGACTTTATTCTCGAAACATTCCGACTTTATTCTCGTAATATTTCAACTTTATTCTCAAAACATTTAGACTTTATTCTCGTAATATTTCGACTTTATTCTCGAAACATATCAACTTTATTCTCGAAACAAATCAACTTTATTCTCGAAACATTTCGACTTTATTCTCGTAATATTTCGACTTTATTCTCGAGACATATCGACTTTATTCTCAAAACATTTCGACTTTATTCTCGTAATATTTCGACTTTATTCTTGAAATATTTCGACTTTATTCTCGTAATATTCTCGAGACATCGACTTTATTCTCAAAACATTTCGACTTTATTCTCGTAATATTTTGACTTTATTCTTGAAATATTTCGACTTTATTCTCGTAATATTTCGACTTTATTCTCAAAACATTTCGACTTTATTCTCGTAATATTTCGACTTTATTCTCATAATATTTCGACTTTATTCTCAAAACATTTCGAATTGATTCTCGTAATATTTTGACTTTATTCTCGAAACATATCGACTTTATTCTCAAAACATTTAGACTTTATTCTCGTAATATTTCGACTTTATTCTCGAAACATATCGACTTTATTCTCAAAACATTTTGACTTTATTCTCGTAATATTTCGACTTTATTCTCATAGTATTTCGACTTCATTCTCGTAATTTCGACTTTAATCTCGTAATCTTAGATTTTTCAAATTTTTTTAACGTGGCACTAAAACGCTGTCGTATACAATACATGTGTACATACTCAAAAATGTTTTTAACCTTGTTCTAATATTGAATTTGGAGTATTCCAAATGAATGACCGCATGTCTGAGGTTAGTTATTTGCATAAAACAATCTCCATATAAGGCCTTTCAGCACAACCTTTCCTTTACGGCCTTTTTGTCTCTAAAGATGCTCTTACTGTATGTGAGAGATGAGCAGCAAGCTCCTCAAACAATGGCAAGTGTGCCGTCCTCAAAACCAGTTTAAAACACAAAAAACACCTTTAATTCGACCCAGACTACAGATGTCTTATTAGCCAGGTGTCCACACGCATATCTGCATTTTTATGCAGTGGAACCTCGCAGCTCGAGCTATAATGTAGCTTTTTTTTTACACTTTCACTGTATTTGGTGAAATGTATTTAACCATTTAAAAATATGTATGCATAAAAAATCATCTTAACACATCTATAAGGCCACCCAGAGTATGTGATTTTTGTGTACATGCGGTTTCAGTTCAGCTTCTTAATTAAGTTCCTACATTTTTTCGTAAATGTAAAACAGATTTTAGAATCAAAGCTATTGGTGGATCTTGATGAGTTTGAGAAAACATTCATTTGCAGATTTCACAAATTTGAGTGTTTGTATAGTTAATGATGAGAACCAATGTTTAAAATAAGCTTCAGGCACTCATTTGCAGAAGGATATGCATAGTAGCAGGTGCTACACACCACTAGGGACAGCGCAAGATGTGACAGACTTTGCCACGTTATCAATAGATGTTGGTGAATTAAAGCAGAGTGACTGGGTCAATTTTCTGTTCACCAAATGGGTTAGTGTGTAAATGTGGTCGTGCATTTATGTCTGTGACAGCACAATATTGCAGAAGCATTGGGTTGTTTTTGTAGCTTAATTTCAATAGATGCTGCTTTTTTTCCACTGGGAAGGAAGTTTGGAGTTTTGAAATGTAAGGTTGTTCATCAGATTTCAAAATCTTTCAACAAAGGTAGTAAGTTAGTTATTAAGTTCTAGTTGTTTCCTCATTTTGCTTCCTGATTCTTGTAAATCATTTCAAATGGTTTATTGTAAGTGATTAGTTTGATCTCTCATATCATGTTTTTCATTTCCTGGTAGGTGCCTGAAGATTTGGAAGAAAAGAGTACAAGTGATCCAGACTGACTGAGAAGTCAAAAACGACAAAAATTATAACAGGGTTGAACCTGATGCTAAAGCTGTGAATAAGAAATGTTTCTTGAACACCAAATCAGCATTATATTGATTTCTGAACGATAATGTGACACTGAAGACTGGCGTAATGGCTGCTTATTTTAAATTATAATTTAGCTATTTTACATATTTTAAAATGTATTGAAATAAAATTTTAAAAATATGACAGTTTTTACTGTATTGTTGATCAAATAAATGCAGCCTTGGTAAATATAAGAGACTTCTTATGAAAACCCTTTTAAAAATCATACCGACCCCAAACTTCTGAACTATAGTTTGACATTTTAGGCTAAACCATGGGAAACTGAACATGTTTATCGGGGCCCCATGCTGTGTGTAACCTCTTTTCAGAAACTTTACGCTAAACAACTTTACACTTTGGTATAAAATGTAAAATATGAATCACAACTATCATGTATTATTTGGCTAGATTAGGTTGAGCATCTCCTTGCATATTATGGCGTTTATAAAAGGTAATTTGTCATGCTTTTTAACTAAGGAGGTGGCATCTGTTGTAGGATCAGTAGATGTTCTGATGCTAGTAGATGATGCATCATAAGACTGCATGTTTGAGGCCTCGTTTTGATATGCTCTGTTTTGTGGCATTGTGTTAAAATCGTTTAGTAAAATCACATTTGGTGTCATTTGAAAAGATAATGTCTTTATAAATGGTTGCTATGACATAATGGCAGCATTTGTTAGTGAATGGCAGTAGTGGCGTCTGGAACTGTATTAGCCACCCTTGACATTTCAGTGCATCCTGTATAAACACATTGTGCATTGAGCACCATTGCTAATCGATCTCAACTGATTCCTGGAGTTTGAAGTCAGAGCTTGATCTAACTAGGTCCTGTGATCTAACCACCTATTTAATAGTCAGCTGTGGCCATACAACACACACAGGTGCCCTATATATTCTTTTGAATATATTCCTATGATTCAAAATCTGCTTTTAAATTAGCTCAAAATAAATAAATGCAAAATCATACACACACACACACACACACACACTACTGTGCAAAAGTCTTATTTGGCCATTAGTATTTTCACCAACAAAAAAATGTTTTAAAGCCAGATATTTCCTATAATTCCTATATTTTTTCCTATAGTGTGTCAGGAGGAAATATCAGTTTACATTTCCAAACATTCCTTTTGCCATTCATTGTAATAATCCAGTGAGATCTTTGTATGCACAACAGCCAGTGCTCCACACAGAGATCTGATCTCACCATCATCCAGTTCGTCTGGAATGACATGAAGAAACGAAAAAAAACTGAGACAGACTAAATCCAGAAGAGCTGTGTCAACGTCTCCAAGACGTTTGCAGAAACCTTCCTACAAAGCTACAGTACTGTTCTAGGCACTTGTGTAAAAATGCTTTAAAGTAAGGATACTTTCAAAAAATTATGTCATGAATAGATTTTATTTATCAATTAACTTCTATTAACTAAATCATATATATGTTCCCTGCTGGTGGAATGACCTGCCCAACTGTGTGAGCAGTTGAGTCTTTAGCCATCATCTTCAAGAAACGGCTAAAAACACATCTCTTCTGTCTACACTTGACCTTCTAACACTAGCACTCTCTATTCTTACTATAGTATAGTTTATAGTACTATACTTTCTACTAAACTACTAATACTTATTACAAAAAAAAAAAACTTGATCCTCTAACACTTGCATTCTCTATTTTATTTCTATTCTAACTACTCGTTTTCTTTTTATTATAAAAAATGACCCTCTAACACTAGCATTCTCTATTATTTTTCTATTCTACAGTATCTACTTGTTTTTTTTATTCATTATTACTTGATCCTCTAACACTTGCATTCTCTATTTTATTTCTATTCTAACTACTCGTTTTCTTTTTATTATAAAAAATGACCCTCTAACACTAGCATTCTCTATTCTTTTTCTATTCTACAGTATCTACTTGTTTTTTTTATTCATTATTAATTCATTATTTGCTACGTGTAGTGCCTTAGACTAACCGAGACTTGTCGCATCACTTACATATTATTGCTCTTTTGTTGATATTTGATTGCATATATATATATATATATATATATATATATATATATATATATATATATATATATATTGGTGGCTGACTAAATACTTTTTTCCCCACTGTATATATATATATATAATTTTAAGATAAACAATAAAAACAAATAATAAAACAATAAAAACAAATTTCCCAGGACACAGGTTTTCATACCTTTTAGTGGCCAGGCAGCTGTATATTTTCATGTTTAAAAGCCTATTTTAAGTGTGTGAGAAGAATATTAAGGAAACAACACAATTAAACAAGTGGCTCTTTTATTTTTTTATAATACTTAATGTTAAAATGATTAAAACTGGAAAAGTTTAACTGAGAATAATATTTATAAATGTGTTTTCATTTTTTCCACAAAACTATATGCAGATCTGTGTTTTGTTACTACTGTTGATAAAAATAATAGAATTAAGTAGTACTGTTATACAACTTGGTGAATGTAAATGTTTAAAAATATTTATAATAATAATATAAAATAATAATATTTTACCTTAGACATTTCGTAAAATCCTTAATTTTTTTCTTTTATATGTCCTGTACAATTGCTAGTTGTATGTTAGTACATGTATTTAGTATTTCGATTTAAAAAACAATTAAACTTTTCCATCTGAAGCAGCACAGAGCAATCGATCAACTCTGTGATGAGTAACATTAACCATCTCACACTGCTTGCATGTTTTTAAATTCTTTTCACATCAGCCACATGTTGTTGCTGTAAAGTGTGTTGCACCTCTATCTTGCGTCTTCTCCACGTACTTTCTGCTGTCTCTAGTGATATCAGGAGTGTGTAGAGGTTTGGGAGGGTCTGTGCCATGGAGGGACTCGGCGGGAAAACAGCAGAGACGTGACCATTCAGATTAGAGGAGGCCATGTGTCTCTCAGCCAACTCTCTGCGTCTATGCTGCTCATCGTGAACTTGCTCAGGTATGAAACTGATCAAACTCAGCATTCTTTGCAAAAGATAGAAGAGAGTGCCAAACATTCAAAATTCCACAATGGTAACAGTAAGAGTTAACAGCAGAAAATGTTTTTACTGTGTGCTTACATGTCTCCAAGGGCTTTCCTCATTGAGGACAGTACAATTTTGAGTATGAAGATCATGAATAGCTTAATACCATGCCAGAGCCAGTATGCCACAGTCATAGCATTAGTGATCCATTTATGGTACCTGTGAAACAACAAATCATGAGTGCTTATGAGCAGCGTTAAAATGTTGAATTTTAAATTAAAAACCTAGGCTGCGAATCTTATTCAATTTTAGCTTTTAATTATGTCAGTTTTATGCATTTAAATAAAATTAGTGATGTACCGAAATTAATTTTATACTGAAACTCAGAAATCTGAGAGTAACAAGATGCATGTGCGTGATGCTGCTGACGCAGGAGCCAATGTTCTGATGTAGAACACGCATGCGCTGCGCCTTGTTTACAAGCAGAGGAATGCACACGCGTTGTTGTACTCTTGTGAATTGCAGCAGAGACTGACCCAGAAGAGAAGAAATAGTTGAATAAAGTCATTATTTTTGTTTTCTTTGTGCACAAAAAGTATTCTCGTAGCATCATAACATTACAGTTGAACCACTGATTTCACATGGACTATTTTAAGGTTGTCCTTACTACCTTTCTGGGCCTGGGAACGTTTCAGTTGCGTTGCTCAGGCTTGCGTGGCTGATGTGAGGGTCAGAAATCTCTCGGATTTAATCAAAAATATCTTAATTTGTGTTCCGAAGATGAACAAAGGTCTTATGGGTTTGGAACGATACGAGGGTGAGTAATGACAGAATTTTCATTTTTGGGTGAAGTATCCCTTTAATCAATGCTCAAAAAAACAAGTTGTATGAACATTGTACATAAGGTTGTTTTTATATCAACAAATTATGATATAATTTTGTTTCTATTCCAATTTGTTGTTGAAATATAAACATTTAAACAGTGGCTGTAATAAACTCGTTTTCATGACCGATCTATTCAAACATATACATAATACACCAAAATTAGAAATTTAAACATTGTACATAAGGTTGTTTTTATATCAACAAATTATGATATAATTTTGTTTCTATTCCAATTTGTTGTTGAAATATAAACATTTAAACAGTGGCTGTAATAAACTCATTTTCATGACCGATCTATTCAAACATATACATAATACACCAAAATTAGAAATTTACTACAAATTAAATTAAATTAAAAATAAATAAATTAAATCAAATTAAATTAGAATTTACTACAAAACCACCACTGGCTCTGCACCCCTTTACCTAAGTTCATTACTTCAGACTTATGTGCCCTCTAGAAGCTTGCGTTCTGCAAGTGAACGTTGCTTTATTGTGCCATCCCAAAGAAGCACAAAATCACTTTCACAGACTTTTAAATGTTCCCTCCTGGCTTTTTTTTTTTTTTAGCCATCTTCACAAATCGGCTAAAAACATATCTATTCCATCTTTATTTGACCCTCTAACTTTAGCACTCTCTATTCTACTTCCATTTAAAAAAAAAAAAGACTCTAAAATTCCCTTTTAGACTTGCACTCTATTCATTTGCTGCTTGTTTTCTCAAAAAAAAAAACTTGCTTTCTAATCTTTTTGTATTCTGTCTGTTTTCTTTTCATTTATTATACAATTAACAAAAGCAAAAAAAACTCTAACACTAGCTTGCTCTATTCTTTTTCTATTCTATCTGTTTTCTTTTTATGTATTATATTATTTAAAAAACCCTTGCTACACGTACTGGGTTAAGCTAACTGAGACTTGTTATAGCACTTGTATATCATTGCTCTTTTGTTGATTTTGATTGCTTCCATTGTCCTCATTTGTAAGTCACTTTGGATAAAAGCATCTGCTAAATGACTAAATGTAAATGTAAATAATAAAGACAACAGGTTAAGTAAAAATAAAACGTATATGTAATATAATACATGGATTTATTATGTAGCCCCAGCCATTTTTAGCACTAGTTGTTTTCTGGGCCCAATCATACCTCCGGCGCAACGCAACATAAGGCGCGATGCAAGTGTTTTTTGATAGTTTCAGCCCGACAGGGTTATCATTTTCACGTCCAGCACCACGTTATTTAAATAGCAAATGCTCTTGCGCCCATCTGTTCGTCCATGGGCGTGCTGGTCTGAAAACAAGGTGTGTTCAGGCACATTGTTGGAGCATTGCTATTTTGAGGCAACTTAAAACGATTGTGCCACTGACCAACAAAACCAGGTCTAAACTAAAGTCAATGACGCAATATTTTTTTATTTGTTTAAAGGGCACGTTAGTAATATGCGCCTATAGGCGGGTGCACAACGCACGTACACTCTGCTTATTACACACACAGCACAGCACGCACACAAACATGGCAAATATTTAAAATGAAAGGATTACAATGTAAAAGATTATTGTGCCCCGTAGATGGCTCTTTGCGCGCTTTAACCTTGCACATGAGCAGATCCGTTTCCTTTCTGGAGAAGCGTTCAGTCTTTGCTCTTACAAATTCCGCCATGTAAATAGCTAATCCGCTACGGTGCGAGCACAAAAAAAGGGAATGGGAGATGAGACTCTGATTTGTTTACTGCACGTCATGCCCAAAACACACCCATGACTCATTAAGAGATTAGGCACAACCCTTTTGGACAATGCGCCTGGAGTGCTGACCGTTTTTCCCGTCAATAAACTAGCAAAAGTGGATTCGGACACGCCATAAGTACACCTGCGCAATGCATTTCAGACCATGTGCATAGATCATTAAAATAGGGCCCTCTGTGTTACAGTTTTATTTTCACAGCGTGAAGGTAATATTGTACGAATTTATGAATGAACCGCTCATTTTAAAATCCTCTTGGTCTGACATTTGTAGTGATATCCGCTTTGAACGTCACAATGCTCATGATAACTTTCGTTAAATCTACAATAAGTAAATCCACTTCACCAGCTAACTACTCTTCAACAGTGATGCTATAGAGCTCCCGCAAAAATGCTCTGGTTACTTACTTAACCTCGAATCCCTGAGATAAGAGAACAAGTGTTGTGTTACACCCTTATGGGCAAAACTCCTGTTTACTCTGATACTGAAGCCTAATTTGTTCACGTTCGTGCAGCTGCACGAACCAATGGCGCTTCAGCCGCCCAAAAGGGATGGAGCTGACTGCTATATAAGTTAGCTCTGAGTGCCATTTCATCAGAATATTTTGACTGATAGTGACAGTCATTGACTCGCGTCCAACCTTATAAAATGCCAGCTTACGCAACGCTCATTCCTTTTTCTTAGGGAACTGAGTCTATGTAAGTAACTGGAGCGTTCTCTTTCGAAGGTCTCTAACATTGCGTTACACGCTTATGGGGAATGCATTCAATAGTGCCATGCTATAAGCAAGTGCAGAACGAAGTCGCTTTTTTCCAAGGTCCCACAGCTCTGATACAGCAGTGGGTTACCTCGAGATGAAAAACGTTTCAGGCGCCAATTGTGGGACAGGACATGGGCTTTGAGCCAATATTGGAGGGGCCACATATGAAGCAGGCCCAGAGGAATCACAGAGGACATGAGGCCGAGCATCCTCTGGAAAGCCCTTGAGTGTACATGAAGTCCTGAGTCTGAATGACACCGCTAGCTGCTGAATTATCAAGGAGCGTTTCGGCGTAATCCATGCCTTCATCTGGGCAGAATTGATAACTGCTGTCCCCAGAAAGACTTCTCGCTGGCTGGGAGACAGATAGCTCTTGGCTAAATTGATTCTCAACCCAAGCCGCTCCAGGTGGCTGAGCAGCAGTTCCCGTTTTGATATGGCTAAAACCAGTCAATCGTCTAGGTAATTCAAGATGCAGATTTTCATCTGCCTCAGAGGGGAAAGAGCCATGTCCATGCACTTTGTAAAAGTGTGTGGGGCCAGAGACAGTCCGAATGGCAGGACTGTATATTGATAGGCCACTCCCTTGAACGCAAATCTCAAGAACAGTCTGTGATGGGGGGCTATCTGGATGTGAAAGTAAGCATATCTCAGATCCACCGATAAAAAAACAGTCCCAGGGGCATATTTGACCGAGGATCTGTTTCAAAGTCAGCATCTTAAACAGCCATTTCATAAGCGAGTGGTTCAGATGCTTGAGGTCGAGAATGGGCCTGAGCCCGCCATCTTTCTTGGGAACATAAAGGAAGTAACGGCTTTAAAATCCTGAGTTGCTGTTTGCTAGAGGAACCGTTTCCATGGTTCTTTTTGCAAGCAGAGTTTGCACTTCGGACCAGAGAATGTGAGCATTGCTGTCCCGTACCGAAGTTTGAAGCGAGGTGGCCTGCAAGCGAACTGGAGCGAGTAGCCTTGTTATATGGTTTTTAGAACCCAACTTGACACATCCGGGATGGCTTTCCAAGCCTGGAGCCGGATGGCAAATGGTCTGAGTTTTTCGAGTGGCAGTTCATCACACGGGGGCGGGTAGCATTTCGCCATCCAGGGGCGCTGCGGAAGCCCAGGCTCAGACTTAGGCTGGGGCTGGGGCTGAGGCGGCACCAGCTTGGCAGGCTGCTGAGAGGATGGAGCCTTCTGGTGACTTAAAACAGTCGCCACACTGGAGCACTTCGGCAGGAAGTGATCGCACATGCGATCCTCCATCAGATTTAGCCAAATGTGGCACTCCAGCACCACCAAGTTGGCCATGGCCTTGCCGATCGCATGTGCAGTGGCCTTAGTAGCATGCAGAGCCAAGTTAGTTGCTTTGTGCAGCACTCTAAAGGCATCAGAACTCTGGCAGGACTCGTCCATGGTGCGGATAAGTTTGGCCTAAAACACTTGGAGCACTGCCATTATGTGAAGCACTATACCAGCCTGGCCAGCTGCTGAATAAGCCCTGTTTGCTAGGGCTGAGGTAGTTCTGCAGGGTATAGATGGGTGCGCTACATGGGCTTTCAACCCCAGGGTCGATGAAGGGCACAGATGCGCATCGACTGCCTCTTTGAGAGGGGGGGAGCTTGCCATAACCTCGTTCTGCAGTGCCATCAACAGTGGTGAGAGTGGCAGAAGTGGAGGGATTAACGCGCAGAGTAGGGGGCACGCCATGTCCTGGTGAGTTCTTCATGTACTTCTGGGAAGAACAGGGCGTGCTGCTGGCAGGATGATCGTTGACTGTGTCCCTTCAGGTACCACTCGTCTAAGAGGCCGCAAACTGACTCTTCAGGAGCCGACCAAGGTAGGTCTAGATCCTCCACAGCCTTGGTGAGAATGCGGATCAGCTCGCTGTCCACGCTGGGCCTTGTTGCTTGCATTGGAAGGAGGATGTCAGGATCTTCGCCGGAACACACCCACTCCTCTGCATCTGAAGCTGTCAATGACATCAAGTCATCCACGACAACTTCCTCCTCAGACCTGCCAAAGGAAATCAAGCTGCTCGCTGCCAATGAGGGGCACTGATCCTCACGTGTGAAGCACACAGGCGAGTCGCGATGTTGCAGGGAGAGTGAAGCACGCAGGACCTGTGCCGTCGTGAGTTCATTCGAGCCCAGTGTTTGAGCCCTGCTGCCTTCTTCCTGCCACTGTTTCTTCCTCCTAGACTCTTGGGAGGGAAGAAATGGGAGAGCAGGCTGGGCTTGCTTCGGCTTTTCAGAGTCCAGCGAGGAGATGATCTTTGTTGCTGAAGGAGAAAAATTCTGACGAAATGGCACTCAGAGCTGACTTACATAGCAGTCAGCTTCCTAACCCTTTTGGTGGGTTAAAGCGCCATTGGTTCGTGCAGGACACGAACGTGTACAAATCAGGCTTCAGTATCAGAGTAAACAGGAGTTTACCGCATAAGCGTGTAATACAACGGGAGAGACCGTTCAAAAAGGAACGGAAGTTCAAAGGCAGAATTCCAAAGATGTCTGCGTGCTTGTTTCTTTGACACATAAAGTCAATAGAGTTCACTAACAATTCCATGGACATTGAATGGCTTTCCTGAGGTAAATGCAACATTATAGGTGAAATATTGTTTACAAGCGGTTTCATTGACGTCTTTCTGCAGTTGAAACACTGATTGAGTGATTACATCAAACATTATATAGTTCAGCAAGTTGTACTGTTTCTTTCAACACACCTTACATAATGTTCATTCTTATTTAATTATATATATAAAAAAATATTTAGTGCTGTATCTACAAGTAACGCAGAAGAGATGATCGATTCACATGCCAGTGCCACTTGAACTGATGTGCTACAGCTAAAGAGCACCAAAACCACATATATTGTTTAATAAAGTCACTAAACATTTTTTCTAAATAAACCATAATTAGATCAGTACCTGTCCCATAAGGTTGTGGCACTCCAGACTGGAAGTGTGAACAATAAGAGCAGGTATGAGAGAGTCCGTTGAGGTAAAGAGATGTTTGAATTACTCACAATCTCCAGCTGCCCCATGATATTACACAACAGCACTAAAACAGAATAGGAGACTGTTTCACTTCTGTATCAAATTCTCCATAATCAGAAATGGAAACGGGACACTACAGTACCTTCCTGAACCTCTACTGGTGAGTTCTTATGTACTGTCTGCTCTTGAAGGGATGGACTCAAAGATGAACAAACTCCATTGACGGTCTTCTGTTCAGGTTGTTCAGGGCAGTCCTGCTGGTATTCCTCTTCTTCAGCACGATCAGTCTGTGTCAGCATCCAGTGATCTGAGCTCACCGAAACACCAGATGCATCAGACTCCTTTCTCCATTCAGGATACAGTGGCAGTGCATCTGTCGAGGTGTGTGAGACAGTATTAATGACAGCGCTGTTTAAAGCAGGTGGACAGAACTAAAACATTACTTCCAAATGCTGACTAAAGACAACGTTCAAACTGGGCTATAATACACAATATAGCAACAGACAACAATTGCCTGTCCAACTAGCTACTATCAATTATGACTATTTACATTTAGAAAGGTCTTATTACTTTTTTGTATAAGTCACTTATGTTCACCAAGGCTGCATTTATTTGATGAAAAACATAGTAATACAGTGAAATAGTATTACAATTTAAAGTAGCTGTTTTCTATTTGATTTTACATTTAAAATGTAATTTATTCCTGTGATCAAAGTTAAATTTTTAGCATCATTAATCCAGTCTTCAGTGTCACATGATCCTTCAGAAATCATTCTAATATGCTGATTTGCTGCTCGGGAAACATTTCTGATTATTATTAATGTTAAAAACAATTGCACTGCTTAATATTTTTTGTACATTTATACATTTTGGAGGGATTCTCAGATTAATAGAAAGTTCAAAAGAACAGCATTTAAAAAAATAGAAGTCCTTTGTAACAATGTAAAATTGTAAATGCCACTTTTAATTAATTTTATGCATCCATGCCTAAAAAAAAATACTTAATTTCTATCCTATAAATAAACAAATAAATAAAAATCTTACTGACCCCAACATTTTTTATGGTATATTTGCATGTAAAATGTAGTTCTAGCACATACTTTTTATTTTATATTTGGATGAATACTAATATGCATATCATCAATGTATGAACAGCTTCTAAAATGTAAACCCTTTACATATGTAAACTTTAGAAATATTTACAAATCCTCTATTCATTTTCATAGAGTTATTCCAGCTTGTTTTAAGATCGATGTGTCTGAGTATTGAACATTTCCAACATTTCCAATCAGTCTTTCAAAATAGGGCAAACGATTTCCTTGCATTTGTACATCTCTACAATTGTTTACATGAAAGGGTTTTAGTCATACGTTGACATTGTATGCATCACTCTTATCAAATGCAAAAAAAAGTAAGTGTATACATACCTATGAATACTTAAACATTAAATTTAAATAAAAAAAAAAATTACAATAAATTTTGCAATACAGTCACTCACTGCTCTGCTGCAAGAAGTATATGGTATCTTGGTATCCACTGTAGAAAGCTTTCTTCAAAATCTGACAATCAACAATAAATACAGTTAATGGCAGAATATTAGCTGACACAAATGATGTCATCATTTATTCACCCATATTACACTGTAAATGAAAACAAAAAAGATTTCTCAAAGTTGTAAATATTTGAGGAAATTCTACTTCAGTCTTTTCATGTTTAATTAAATGCGGTACTTGCCGTTTATTTGTAATAGCCTATTTTTTGTAAAATGTATTAGCAATTTCTGAGTAAGAATAGTTTCAATTAGTAAATACACCATTTTTTGTTTCAGTGTACTATTTATTTATTCAATGGGCCAAAAATGTTACAGAATGTTCAAGCTGTTCATTTCCATCCAGTGTTCAGGGTTGTATTTAGGGTTGTGCCGATAGACGATAGTAGCCCATCGTGTATCGACGATAGTCAGAGATATCGCCTGTGGCTGATGCCACTGACGATAGCAAGACGATTATTATTATTATTATTATTATTATTATTATCAGGTTACTAATAGTACTATTATTTGTTACTATCAGGTTACTAATATTACCTACTATTTAATTAATATTAGGGTTTATTTGTTCCATTATATTTATTTTTCCACGTTTTAAGAGTGTTGCGTGTTATAACCAATCACACACGATTATGTTACGCTTATGAATGCAATGGCCAATCAGAGGCGTTCAGATGATCCATTGTTCAGCGCGCGCTGACTGAATTCTGACTCGCAAATTCTTTCA